AGGGAAACTAGTCAAACAATGCAATTTAACCAGCCAAGCAAAGAAGACCAAACAGAAAGCAGAGGAATACAAAAATACTAATAAAATAAAAAAGTAAGAATAATAAAAAATTAGTACAAATATGCAATAACTTGAAGGTTCTCTGTAGTGGCAAAGTGAAATTGGTCTCACTATGTCAGCTGTTGGGATGACCCTTCTTTGGGTCCAACTCTCGTCTTTTCACAGTTCCAGGTTTTTTTTGTCTCACTTGGGGGAATTAAAAAAAAAATGGAAGGAAGAAGGGAATAAAAGATGAAATGGAAAAAAAAGAAAGAAGGAATAAATCAAGAAGGAAAGAGAGGAAAAAGGAGTTGAAAAATTAAAAAAAATAATAATAAATTTAAAAAAAAGAATTACTTATTTTTTAAAAAGCCTCTTGCTGTCTCCAAACTGGCCAAACCAGTTTTGTTGGTCTTCCTAGCTGCAGCAGGATGAGGGGCAATTGGTTTGGCTTTTCTCCTTTCCTGATCTGCACTCAGCCTCCAGCCCAGTTCCTCATCAGCCTCTGGTCCCTCAGATTCCACAGGTTTCGGTGTAGGCTCAAGGCCTGCAGAGCGCAGTCTCCCCAAGTTGCAGGAGTACATGCTTGTGCTCAGTCAGGCTGCCTCTGGTTCCTCAGGTTCAGGAGCCAAACTCTTCCCATGGCCACTGGAGTGTGCACAGGGCCTTCTGCACCACCTTGGGAGCACCGCACATCTGGGTGGGGAGGAGGCCAGAGTGACTTTTTTTCACTTTTTCTTTTTGAGAAATTCCTCCTGCTCAAGCCTATCTCTTCATACAGAGACCTGGCCTCTCCCACAGCCCAATTCTCCAACCAGACTGGAGAAACTTCAATGCATGTAAATAAGTGAAAGAAGCCAACCTGGAAAGCTACCTACTGTATGATTCTAACTGTATGACATTCTGAAAAAGGCAAAACTATGGAGACAGTACTTGTTAAGGGTTAGAGGGAAAGAGGGAGGAATAAGTGGAGCACAGAACTTTAGAGCAGTGAAACTGCTTTCATGATACTGTAATGATGGATACATGTCATTATATGTTTGTGCAGACCCACAGAATGTACCTCACCATGAATGAACTTTGGTGTAAACTATGGGCTTTGGGTGATTATGATATGTCAGTGTAGGTTCATTCATGCAACATATGTACTACTCTGGCACAGGATAACGGGGGAGAATATGTAACAGGGGAAGTAGTATATGGGAAATTTATTTACTTTTCACTCAATTTTTGTAAACCTAGATCTGCTCTAAAAAACTAAAGTCTATTAAAAACAATAAGTAAGTACAGCTGCCACCTGCTAGGATAGTATTCAGATTTTGTCTTCTAGGCTGTTGACCCAACAACCAATATTTGTTACTAATGCATCATGTAGAAGGAAAAAACAGTAAATGTGCAGAGTTATACTCTCAGTTTCATATGCATTTTTATCTCCAGGGGAAGAAAAATAAAACTGGAGCTCCATGTGGGAGCCTGGAGTGTGATCAAGTTCAGAGCGTGAGTCATCTGGCTTTAGGTTCTCACCCCAAGTTAGACAATTAGCAGTCGCATGACCTTGATAAATTTCATAAGCTCTTAGCCTCCATCCTCATCTGTAAAATAAAAACACCATCTACCTCAATTGAGGATCCAGTGCTACACCATTTTACATCTGCTAGTTCCCAGTCTCCCGGGACCATGTCTCAGCATAAGCTTGCATATGACAATCTTCACTTAATGAAGTAAGACCAAAGGTTAGAAATGTGTGATCCTAGGCATCTCAATCTCAGGCATTTGACTAATTCACAAACTGGAGGGTCAAACATGGTTCTAGAGACATTATAAAATTATTATTAAATGTGGTTGGGCAAAGGGAGCCAGGAGAGAAGCTGGAGAAAGGCCTGAACCTTGAGGGGCTGGATGTGTGAGTGCACCTCTAAGGGGCTGCACACCAGCCATACCTCAGCTGAGTCACCAGCAGCAGCTCCTGGGGAGGGGAGGAGCCCTGGTGGTTCTCAGGATGCCAGGCTGGGTGGGAGATTTGCCAAGTGGGAGGTCAAAGGGCTTCACAGGGTGCCCACAGGCCTCCCCAGGCCCCAAGACCTAGAGGAGTGTGTGGGTGAGGGATGAAAGATGGTGGGCAGGGGTACTGCTGGATTCTCTTATAGAATGCCTCATTTTGTCCTGCTGTTTATTGACTTTAATACAGAATCATGCACTTAAAATCTTTGACACACTGTTGGAATTTCAAAAACCCAAAGATTTTTCACCTGAACTGGAGCCAGAAACCTTCAGGATTTCATTACGATTCCAAGAAATTAAACTACTTTTAAATCCCTGGATGCTGTCCATGGCTAAGGGTCACTCACAATCTATTTTCTCCCAGAGTCTCTGACTGACAGTAAACCAAAGCACATGATTTACCAACTGTGGTTCCAAACACTGTTCCTGGGGGTAGAGGTGGAGGTGCAATGGGCTGATCAGCAGTTGGCTGAAAAGCTTTGCATAACTGCAGGGACAGGGAGCAGGGCTCTGGTGCAGGACTCATGCCAGGACTGAAAGGACCTAGGCCTCCTGTCTCTAGGTGCCCAGTCCTCCCCTTCCCCCCAGATATAGGCTGACATGCTTGGGGGCCCACTGCATGGGTAAATTTCACTGGTGATCTTTGGAGTATCAGTGCAAGCCTCAGAGAGAAAGCTTTTGTGGGCACAGAGAGATTTAAGAGGCCCTTGCCCCACTGTGTCCATAGAGGAGACCCTGTTCCAGCAACTGTCACTGTTTCTCCATATTGGTTTTTTGTCATTATTGAAAATATACAGAAAACATTTGAGCCATAGGGAAATTAGACTCACTTGTTAGCTCAGATCAGAGACTAGAATTTTTATTGTGCAGTAGATGTGCTTTCTCCTTGCCCTGGGCTGCTCTCTATTCAACCTAGCTATGCTCCCTCCCTTGGAGAGCTCTGCTGCACCCTTCAACTTGCTTCAGCTGTCCACAATCCAGAGGCTAATTAACCAACAGCTCCAACCATCCTCTCTTCTAGAATTTAGTTCTACAGCTCCTGCTTGCTGAAACTTTCCACTTGGTGTCTACCATGAGGTCTTCAAGAGAATTCAAAATTCCACCTTCTTTCTTTACATCATGCTTTGTCTTGGTTCTTCTCCAGGCTGCTAGTTCTAAACCTTGAACTCATCCTTGCTACCACCATGCTCCTTTGCCTCCTTCTCTGAATTACTTCTAACCAGTCACCAAGTCCTGTTGACTGAACCATTGAGCTTGCCTCTTGAATCTATATATCCATTCTTTTTTTAAAACCCATCCATTCTTTTGTGTTTTTTTACTATAATGTCAACTGAAGTCCTTTTACACCATCAGGTTTGAAAAGATGCATCATGTTCCAATTAACAGCCAGTGATATTGCAATTTATAATAACACAAAATAATATATATTTTTGTCTGTGCCCACGGTTCCACATGGGCCATGTGAAACATGCCAATGTGGCACAGAAGTCCTAAAACTCTGTAATTTCCTAAGTGATAAGACTGATGGGAATATCTGTTATTACAATATTTTTCCACAATATATTTCTTTGTTCCACAGTTCCTGAAATAACTCCAGAGTAATAAGGATAAAACGAGTGTTTGGTTATTTATTATATAAGAAGCGCTTTCGATCTGAGTTTATGTTAGTGAGGCCATTTTTGGAAAGCCCCTGAGTAGCTGCAGGAAGGGACCTAGTTGCCAGGGGAACCAACCGCATGATTAGAGGGTTTGAACTTTCAGCCCCCACCTTCTGACCTGTGAGGAGGGGAGAGGGTCTGGAGTAGAGTTAATCACCAATGGCCAAGGATTTATTCAATCTTGTCTATCATGTAATGAAGCCTCTATTTAAAAAAACCTGACTAAAGGGGCTCAGAGAGCTTCTAGGTTGGCAAACATGTGGAGGTGCTGGAAGGATGGCACATCCGGAGGTGGCCTGGGACTTCTTAACTCTTCCCTCACACCCTGTCTGGTGCACCTCTCCCGTTTGGATGATTCTGAGTTATATTCTATTACAATAAACTGGCAATCTAGTAAGTAAACTGTTTGCCTGAGTTCTATGAGCCATTCTAACAAATTATTGAACTCAAGGAGGGGGCTATGGTAACAGAGCTCCAATTTATACTTGGTCACTCAGAGACAGCAGTTGTAATGTGGGCTTGACATTGGTATCTGAAGGTGATGAATTCTGGTGGACTGAGTCCACAACCTGAGGTATCTGATACCCTCTCCAGGTAGATACTCTCTGCATTGAGGGAAATTGTAGGACCCCCATCTGGTGTTAGAGAAGCCCCTTTCTCTTTACATCTGGTGTCAGGAGTGAAATACTGAGAAGAATATAGAGCATTTTCCTTTCCTGACCCTTATTCTTGTGTCTTCCTCCTCTAATTCAGCTGTTACACAGCAGCCAGGTGACTCTTTCCAAAACTTGACACAGAAGACTCCCTGTTATAAAATTTGAGTGACTTCCTCTTGCATTAGTTACCAGATAAAAAGTACCGGATGTCCAGTTATATTTGAATTTCAAATAAGCAGTAAATAAATTTTTTAATATGGCTCTGTCCCATGCAATAGTTAGGGCATATTTATACTAAAAATTATTTGTTGTTTATCTAAAGTTCAAATTTAACTGGGCATTATATTTTATTTCTCAAATCTGACAATCCTACTTCTTGACTACTGAAGAGAAATCAAACTCACTCATAACATTTAAGGCTTTCTGCCATCTGACCTTTTCCTACTACTCCTCATAGTCAAACTTGTCTGCTCTGGACCTTAGTAACAATGTTCCTCTAGCCCAGAGCTTTCTTTGCTGTTGTAGAGTTTGTTTCCTATGCGGCTGCCAACTGGTTAAAATGCTCTGCAATATTAACAGTGCCCTATGACTTGGTAACACCAAAGAGTCAGAAACACACTGGGCCCTAAATGGTGCTGCACCTCACCTGGGCAGGATCATGAAGGCTGATGTTCCCACAGAAAGGCCAGTTCCACCTGTGCTTCCACTTTGTAAGCAGCTGGTTGGTCAGTGCCCAGCACAATCCTGCAGAATGGAGGAGGAAGCTCTCCCTGCAAAGGGAGCTAGCTGGTCCACTTGGAAGAGAATAAATAAAAGGTCAGGGAAGAGCAAATTCAACATCTACAAAAGGCACATTATTGCCAATGGGGACCATCCCTTTTGAATGTAGTGTTCTTCTGGCTTCCTTGTTTGGGCCAAACACTCCTCATTCCTGCAGGGTTCTTCACATTATAGCCACTTCTTCCCTTGCAGTCTCAAGTCAGTCAGTGTTGACATTAAAAGCAGACACAGAGTTGGATTTTGCCTTCTGCATGAGGGTTTCCTGATCAACACTAAAAGAAAAAAAAGAGTCTCCCCTTGACCTGAAGCCCATGCTCCTGAAAGTACATGAGATTGAGTCAGGTGTTTATCACCAATCATTTTGGGTTTAACACTTAGTTCATGATTCAACAAAATTCCTAAATCTTTTTTTCATAAATTGTTGTCAAGCTAGATAGGCTTCCTCTGACCTATATTTGAATTTTCAAATGGAGATCCGTGCTGTTACATGTCTCCTTGATTTCGGATCAGCAATCAAAGCCATTTGAACCTTGGCTCTGTCAACTGTTCCATTGGCTGCCATTTCCCTCTCGGGCTCTCGGAGCCTGTGGTGTAGCTCTGGAGACTCCCCAGATGGGCCTAGGGCACTTATTGGAAATTCAACTCCAGCTCAAGAACTGTAAAGTATATTTCTTCCCATAAGAAAAATAACACAGCAAAGTTTCCCTGACATTTTGAAAGGAATACCATGTTGTACTCAGAGGGTGAGAACTGAGTCAGGGTGCAGAAAGTGCTTAGTTCCCTGGAATTCGTTATTCGCTGCCCATGACTGTGCAAATTTAGAAGAAAATAGTGCAGCGTTCAGATTCCCCTTCCTGGGCACACTACCAATCCTAAAGCATCATCACAAGCAACTTCTGTCTCATGTGGGCCCAGCTCTCCCACCCTCCCTTATTTCTCAAAAGAAGCAGAACTTCAATCACATAACCTTTCCCACCTAGCAAATGAGTCCTCTCACTGTGCCTGAGGCACTAGGGGTCCTAGTCCCCTTTCCACCCACATTTACCAATGAATTTAAATTTCTCCTCTCCTTGCTTCTCTCAGGTACTATGTTGCTAAGTTATAGAAGATAATTAGGAATAGGTTTGGGAGCTCATTACAATTCTAAACACGGTCGGTTCTTCCCACACTCTCCCCATCCTCTCTCCCACTCTCTCCATCCCTCCCTCCCTCTACCCCCACCACCTTCCTCTTTCCAAGGAGCAGGAGGAGCAGGAGGAAAAGGCTCAGAAAATGCTGGTTTAACTGAAATTAAAAAAAAACTTTAATATTTGGCCACAGTAACACAGGGGCTGGGCATGATACAAGATGCACAATAAATCCATGTTGCAGAAACCTGTGGGCCCTGGCTGGTGTAGCTCAATGGATTGAGCACAGGCCTGCAAACCAAAGGGTTGCTGGTTCAATTCCCAGTTGGGGCACATGCCAGGGTTGCAGACCAGGTCCCCAGTAGGGTATGTGCTAGATACAACCACACATTAATGTTTCTCTCCCTCTCTCCTTTCCTTCCCCTCTCTATAAAGATAAAAATAAAAATAATTTTTAAAAAGGAACCTGTAAAATACTTGATTGGACCCATGCCCTGCTTCAAGGAAAATGTCAGAAAAGCACCTTCACCTCTAGTTGGGGATTGTTGGCCCAGGGACAAGGGAGGGCGCAGGTAGAAAACGAGCAGTCAGGACTGAATCATTCTAAAGGAGCAAGTGGAATTAGTGGAATCATCATTTGGCTAAACACAGTACTATTTTAAACCAGTAAGTGGAGTTTTTCTGTCTGAAAAGTGAGTCCCTTCTGATTTCCCAAGTAACCTTGCAGGGCAGAGCAGAAGAAGGCAATGTTTGAATCAGCTCTGATTAATGTTACAAAGTGAGCTCCCCTGACATCTGTATTATTCCCTGAGCAAATGATGCAAGACTGACATTTAGGGAAACCTAACGGAATTCCACCTACCTGCCAGCACACAGTTTACCATTCCCCCTGCCAGGCTGGAGTCCCTGCACTCCCTGATGACCTAAGCCAGCCTTACCTTCTATGACCCACCAGCTTATTTGCAATTTGCTTTGAGGCAGAGCTGAGGTTGGCACCTAGGCACAGCACCCTTCATTAGATTCAGGGGCTACTGTCACCCACAATAGAAATAGGACCTATTTCTGTTCTTCCCTAGAAGCGCTCCATTAGCTGGTACAGAACCAAATGGGTCCCCCAGGGTTTATGGATGCCTTTCTCTCCTTAGATTGTAGGCACCTCAAGGCTAGAGAGAGTGCCTCATCCATCTCTACACCTATAAAAGTTTTTCATTAAGGAAATGAGTTTTCACCCTCAAGAGGAAGCTATCATTTATAGTCTGCATTAGAAGGCTTGGGCTACTCCAACCATGAAACATTTAGACTTATACTCTGAATCATTCCCATCATATTCAGATTCCCAGAGATAAGAAATTGTATAATAATACTAATCTTAAAAATTAAAGAGGTCTCAGAGAAGATAGCCCTTTGGCCCTGAGGCTACTTGCAAGTGTTAGTTCTATTGCTGTGGTGGTAATGATGCAAAGATTGCATTTTTGTTTCCTTGACAGTTGTGTATGAAAATTCCCTGGCTCTCTGAGCAGATGGTTATGCTGGGCCAAACCCTTCAAAGGACTACCTACCTACTCAAGGTGACTTCCGACCAAGGTCACCCTCCCCTGTCACAGCTAATTATGCTATTTTGGTAAAACAAACCTAGCACATTTGCTACCACATGTTTTTCAAGTCACAGTGAGTTCTGCACCAGTGACTGATATCATTTCCAATCCTCCCTCTGCTACAGGAGAGCTGGGTTCACCTGGATGAGAAAGTCACCCTTTCTGAATCTCAGTGTTCTCCCCTGTCTGTGAAATACTGAAATATGCCTTGTAAAATGTAAGGGGTTTTGGGGGGATCCTGCACATGAAGCAATTAGCATAGAGCTCGCCAGATAGCAGATGTCCAACCACTGGCAGTAGACATTATGACTGCTATTATTCTAGATACAATCTATTGGGTATGAAGAGGGTTCAGGGTTTCTATGGGTGCAAATGGTGTGGCCATTGAGAGCAATATGCAGCACCTGGTGAAATTAGGGGAGCAAGTGTATGACCTGTGACCCACAAATCCCACTCGTGGAAATAGATTCCCAGAGAGCCCCAATGCCAAGAAACAAGGCCCAGGCCACTTATTGCAGCATCCTTGTGGGTGTGCAAGATGGCAGGCAGCCTGGGGTTTAACTCAGCAGGATGGGTGGGGACAGAGGCAGCTGTATCTGACAGAAGACTGTGAAGCTGACAGGAATTGGCTAGAAGTGCCATCAGCATTGCCCATTGTTCTCACACACAATGTGCCAGTTTTCAAAAGTTAAGAAACAGGACAAGGGCTACAGCAAAATACCACTGAGGTAAATTTAAAACATCTACGTCCATTTAACAAGAGTACCTGGAGTAGGTGCTGACAGGTCAGGCTAGAAGGGCTAGTGGGAACGGAGAGTGGGCATGAAGTGGACAAAAGAATAAAATAAAACAAAACCAGAGAAGGGCCTTGTACTGACTATTGGTGAACTTTGCATGATTAATGCATCGCTTCACTTTGTGGGGGAAAATAAGTGGTGGTGTCTGCTCTGTGACTTGCTTGGACAGATGTACTCCAGATGAGTCAAATGATTGTGTCCATCAGTCCAAGGGCAAAAAAAAATGGAGTTTTCTGAGAGTAATGCTAACATTTTAACTCATCTTTATATCCTTAATACTTAGCACAGCACCAAGAACAAAATAGGCAGAAAAGAAATGCTTGAATGAATGAATGAAGCAAAACCTATTTATATTCATGTAGAACTTTTTCTGCTTTACTTATAAGGCTGACAGAATACTTGAAATGACAAAAATGAGCTTTTGAAAAATTACCAGGAGCCAACTATATTTCTAGGAAATGAGAAGAAAATAAGAAGTGTGTTGGAGCTGGTTTTACAGTCCCCAAGAAGGTTGATTTAATATTTGAAGGAGACAAAACTTAAATAAAACAATTAAAGAGTGACCCAAAAGAACATGACGTAAAGTGCAAAATTAGCACGTGCTGTGGACTCTGAACTCTACACAACCCAAAAGAAGGTGACTGGCTCCGCAGTGTCATGGGTGAGGTACTGGGATGCTGCCTCCCTGGCAGTATAACTGATACTCTGTGACATGCAGATCGTGCACTAAATCTCAATAGTAACTACAAATTTAAGGGGAGTTACCTTCTGAAATGACACATGGCCTGTCAGAGCTAATGGAGTCCAGAGCCTGACTGGGCACAGGCTCCCACAGGCAAATTTCCACACAACCCTGACTCCCCAGTCCTCTCCCTTAGGGGGTGTGTATAGGGTGAGGATGCACCTTTGGGGCATTTTATTCATTTTGAAGCAATGAGGTATGTGAGAGTGGCAAGTGGTTAACATCAAGCAGCATGTCTAATCTTTTGTTTTAATTTCTAATCAATCGCTGGAACCTTACCCATCCCTTCACAATCCACTCATTCTATGGCAGGAAACTTTTTAATTTGTTGTGATGTCCCAAGTTGTTTGTTTATAGTAATAGAATATATCGGGGTGTGTTTTAAGGCTCTTATTCTAGATACTTCTGTTCTGACATGTGTGCAGTCAAAGAAGATAGGTGATTGTTGTTTGGCAAAGAGAACCTTTGGTAGTAAAAGGGGTTCTAATTTAGATTGGCCTATTACTCAAAAAAACATATCCTCACCTGCGAGTCAAAAGCAGGGATCAGGAAGGACTAAACATGGTGCTCCGTAGGAATGGCCCTCAGAAATCCCCCAGAATCAGAGTCGTTAGATGTCTGTGCATCTTTCTGAGTCTCAAGTCAGGATTATCAACTCAGACTTCTAGACAAGGCGCCCTGAGAACAACCAGCAACCAGGTCAGCAAAGGAAGTTCAGCCAAAGCCTCAAATGAGAAATTCAGACCAGAAACTTTCTATTTCTCCCTATCTGTGGCTTCTCTTCAATCCATTTTGCATCACAAAGACAGACTTTTTTTTTTTTTTCAGAGAAACTGGGATCATGCCATCCCCCTCCTTAACCTTACCTTTGTTTAACACTCTCCACAGTTTCCCCATATTCTTAATATAAAGATAAAACTCCACTGTGGCTGGCACTATGCCTGCTCAGATGGACTTTTGCTTGTTGCCCGCCTCTCACCTCACCTCGCAGCTGTCCTATTCTAGCTTGTTTGCAAATACCTTGGTGCTGCCCAGCCCCTGAACCCAACATATCAAGAGAGGAAAGACTGGAACTAGACATACCTCATTTTGAATTCTAACTCAGCCAGTTACTAGCTGTGGGACTTTAAATCAAATTTTCTGAGCCCCAGTTTTTTTGTGTTTGAAATGAGGATGATAATAATAGCTATGATGTCTTTAGTGTTTACTACATGCCAAAAATCATCGTATGGTCCCTGTTTATATCTCTAATCTCATTTCATACCACAGTTTCTGCTACAGCCACACTGGTCTTCTACACATCATACTCTTGTACAACTCAGGGCCTTTGCATACGTTCTTCTCACTTCCTAGGATGCTCTCCCTCTCATCTTCCACTGCCTCCTGCACATTCTTCATTTCTCAATTAAATACACCTTCTTCAAAGCTCCTTTCTGATTCTCTGGCTAGATCTCATTTAGTGGTAGGTTTACACCACTGTACACTCTCCTCAGAGCACTTGTCAGTTGTAATTTTACATGTATTGGGTGATGATTTGATTGGTTTTCCTCCTGGGTTGTAAATACCAAGAAGGCACAGACTGTGCACACCTTGCAAATTGTTGTGTCCACAATATCCAGAAGAGTAAGGATACAGGAGATATTTAGTAACAGCCTGAATATTGAATGAATGAGAAAACCAGGGCTGAAACTCACTCATAGGGTTTGGGTTGTGGGTTTAGGGTAGAGGTCTGAAAGCTGTGTGTACTGATGTCAGGATAACGAATTTAGGAACATGACTTTGTAACTTAGGCAACAACTCTTTCATGAGCACATCAGAAGTCATCCTGGGCTAGAATGTTAGCCCTACTACTTACTGAAAGGGTTTCTTTGAGCAAACTACTGGAGTGCCAGATGCCTTCCTTTCCTCAATTGTAAAATAGGATAATAAGCATTTATTTCAGACTGTCATTGGGAGGCTTAAGTGAACATATACATAGCACTTACAATGGGTTTTAGCATACTGTTATTATCATCCTTATTTTAAATACAAGAAAAGTAGGGCTCATAAAATTTGATCATTTTTTAAAAGTCTCACAACCAGTAAATGACTGAGTTTGAATTCAAGTCTAGCTTCAAAGTATTTCCTCTCTTAACCTGTTGGATTCAGGGGCTAGGCAGCACAGAACCTCTCTGGTCAAAGGCCTTTGGTGTTTGGGAACAAGATAGCCTGGGAAAGCTGTGGGGTGAGAGTGACCAACAAGCAGAGGTCCATGTGGGCTGGCATAATTCTGGCCACAGATGCCCAAACAGAGCCTAAGTGTCAGGGACAAGAATGGAGTACGGACCAAATGATGAGAACAGGAACATTTCTCAAAACTCAATAGCTGGGACCAGTTTTGCAGTGAGTATGGGTGAGCAAGATGGCTGGTAACAGTAGGCTGGGCCTTAGAGGTCCTTGGATCAACGCTGGGATTATTCCCAAAGCCTGGGGTGGGTCTGAGAGGGAATGAGGAACAGGTTGAGGGTACAAAGACTTGTGGGGCCTGGAGCAGTCCAGTCATCAAAGCAGTGGTGGGCCACAGCCTGAGGCTTCAAGCCTGTAGGTAGGAGGTTGAGGATCAGACAGCAACAGGAGAAATGGGATCCCAATGTCCAATATTGGAGCAGGGCATGCTTTTTTCTGTAGAAACATGCACAGAGTTGGGGTCTGCAGTATAGCATCAAAATACTGCAGTGCAGTTCATCCTGGATCTCCCAGCACGATTCTAATTTCAATGTTCTACTCTTGTTTCTATGAGAACATAGGTACTTGTCAAATCATGGATCCCAATTTTGGGTCCAGAAAATATGGCCCATATTTTCTATACTATAGTTGAGCTATATTGTGAATCAAACCAGCTCTTTTGGACTGCAGCTGGGATTCTAATTCCTATTTCTATATCCTGTTTGAAAATTCATTCTAAGTTCCAAAGAACTTTTGGGATGGAACCCATTCATAGAATGGGCACTGCCCACCCAGTGGAAAAATCCATTTGCTATTATTAAGTTCAACTATAATGACATGGGCTCTTCCTTGACACATTCCACTCTCTCTTTATCCATAAAAGACAATATTTTAACAAAAAATAGTAATAGTAAAAACTGGCTTGACAAGGAACTGGATAACCTCAAAAACATGAATTAAAGGGAAGGACTTTGCCATTTCTAACTGAAAGCTAGTTCTTCTTAAGGACATAGCAAGGTTAATGGGGGTCATTCTGCCATGATGACATGTCCCAGACCACTAAACCAGCTAATCCATGCGGACTGGAGAAATCTTATCTGCACTTCAAGAGGACCTCACTTGAACTCTGCTCTCTAGGCCTCCCTTCTGCTTGGCTTCTGCCTGCTTTTCTGGGGGGAAGTAACTTCTTTTTGATTAAGTGTGACATTCCAGATTTTTTTTGGTCTTTTTTGTGAACAGAATTCTTGAATTTCTCCCTCTCCCTCCATCTTGCTGTATTACCCAGAGCCTTAGTTCCTGCATTTTACAGCAACTGCAGAATCACCCCAAACCACAGGTCACCAGGGTCACCAGAAAATATATGACCTTTACTGTTAAAATCCCAGATTCTGCTGATTTGTTATATTCATTTTTCCATTAACAAAGAGGATTTTTTGCATAAACAATATCAAAACAATAATAAAGAAACACAACAAAAATCTATAAATTTCACTATCCTTTGGAACATCCACTTTCCTTTTCCCTTCCCCTCAGTCCTTGTCCACTGCAGACATGTTTCACTGGTGATCCGCCTAGTCATTCATCTCTCACTCTTGGGGCCTGATGGGGCCATACCTGGCCTGGGGCTATCACCTGGCACACAGAGATGAATCTCCCTTTTCCCATGAGAAGTTCAAAGTTCAAAATCAGTACCAACATTCTATTTCATTCAACTTTAATGAGGGACAATGAAGAGATTTCCCAGTGGAATGTTTTGCTTCTCCATGATGTGGATGTGGCTGGCGTGCACTTGGCCAGTTCCTTGGATACACTAAGAGTAGAATGTTTCCATTCTGGGTGTGATATTAAATAGACTTTGTCTGAATATCTGGAGTCATCTCCTTGAATTATAAGGTAAATATCCTCATTTCTAACATAATGGATCCTAATTTTCCACCTCACTGCATTAGTTACCTACATTCTGCAGTTTCATTATATACCACATTTGTGGCAATTCTTAAATGACTAAAACACATAAAATGCTATATTTGTGTTTTTACTTGACAGTCCCTGAGAACTTTCCAGTCAAGAAGGTACAATAATGATGCTTATTATCTTAATAAATTCCAAAGTAAATATTTTCTCTATTTTACAGGTGCAAAAGCATGTTGATATGAGAAAAGGAAAATGGTCATCTTGGTTTGGGAGACACATTTTACAAATATTGTTAGCAATAAAAGGTCTTAAAGGAAATTGAGTGTTATCCACCACATTATCCTAGTTTTAGGTATTTTTTCTATTCTAGATTATTTTTGGTCCTAATTCTTCTACAGAAATCATTCTTCTATAGGAATTTCTTTTCTACATGGAAAGAAAGTTTAATATATGTCAAACGATTTTGAGGCCCTTGCTTTTCTTTCTATCCTGTGATAGCATTGTGGGACACAGAATGGTCCTGTGACCAGCAGCAAAGTAAAGAGAGCTTCTGGTCCAGGTGACCTTTTGCATTCCTGATCTGAAAGGCAAGATATAAAAATATGCACTCATTTTAAGTCCAACTGAAATTACAGACAATCTTCAAGTTTCTTTAAACTGAATACTTAGCTTTTACAAAGCTGGATGGGCAACTTTGTCATAATATTTTTTCCAATTCCATAAAATATAAACAATGCCAGCATTATAGTCACTCTAATCAGCAAACAGTCAGAAGGTATCAGAATATCAAGCGGTCATTAGAAATAAGAGAGTATTTGAGCAATTCTACTTAACTCTTGAGCTCAATGGAAAGATTTCTCTTTTATTAAAATTTGTTTGATTTTTAATTTTACTAATGTAAGATTCTAAGTTGCCCAGGCTTATTCATGTATGCCTGGGTAACTTATTATTCTTTATTTTTTATTTCAGTCAACAACGATTTAATGAGTACCTACAACTTGCTAACCAGAGTTCTAGGCACTAAGGATATAACAATATAAAGTAAGCACAGGCCTATGCTTTTATGAAGCTCACATTTTAGTGAGAGACTGATAGTGAACAAAAGATAAATACTAAAATGTTAGAGAGTAACACAGGCTATGTGTGGATTTAATACAGTATGGTGAACAAGAGTAACTTAGTGGTAAAGAAAGGCCTCTGTGAGGAAAGACACTTAAATTGGGATATAAGTGGCAAGAGGGAACCAGCTGTCAAAGGTCAGAGGGACACCATTCCCAGAAGCAGGAATAGCAAATTAAGCAAGAGTCACTATGATCCTTCCAGGAGGTGACCAAGGTCTTCATAAGAGGCAGCATAGAGAGTGTAGACTCAATCGCCAGATTTGGGCATTTAAATTCCAGTTCTACTGATGGGATTCAAGTAACAAGGAGCAAGTTCCTTAACTCTTAAGAGGATTTTGTAACCCTTTGCTTCCTCATTAGTAAAATATGAATAAGAATAGTTTCCAACTCATATAGTTGTTGAAAACTCCTTTAAAGGGATTAATATACATTAGGATA